CGACGCCACGATCCAGGCCCTCTCCCCCTACCTCGAGCCCGGCGACGCCATCGTCGACGGCGGCAACGAGTGGTACCAGAACACGGAGCGGCGCATCGAGGAGGCCGCGGCGCGCGGGATCCTGTACCTCGGGATGGGCGTGTCTGGCGGCGAAGAGGGCGCACGGAACGGGCCCTCGCTCATGCCCGGCGGCCACGTCGATGCCTACAACAACATCAGGGACATCCTCGAGAAGGCCGCGGCGCAGACGGAAGACGGGGCGTGCGTCACCTTCGTTGGGCCCGGTGGTGCCGGCAACTTCGTTAAGATGGTGCACAACGGGATCGAGTATGGCGATATGCAGCTCATCGCTGAGGCATACGATGTGCTCCGCAGAGTTGGGGGCCTGTCCAACTCGGAGATTGCCGATGTGTTTGCGGAATGGAACAAGGGCGAGCTCGAGAGCTTCTTGGTTGAGATCACCGCGGATATATTCACCGTGGCTGACCCATTGGATGGGAGCGGCGGGGCTCTGGTTGACAAGATTCTAGACAAGACTGGGATGAAGGGGACTGGGAAATGGACGGTGCAGCAGGCCGCAGAGCTTGCAGTGGCAGCACCCACAATTGCTGCATCACTGGATGGGAGGTACTTGTCAGGGTTGAAGGATGAACGGGTTGTGGCTGCTGGGGTGCTCGAGGAAGAGGGGATGCCAGCAGGGCTGTTGGAGACGATTAATGTTGATAAGAAGGTGCTAGTGGATAGGGTCAGGCAAGCGCTTTACGCCTCGAAGATTTGCAGCTATGCACAGGGCATGAATCTGCTGCGAGCCAAGAGTGTGGAGAAGGGTTGGAACCTTAACCTTGCAGAGCTTGCCAGGATTTGGAAGGGCGGATGCATTATCCGTGCGAGGTTTCTTGATAGGATCAAGAGGGCGTATGACAGAAATCCTGAGCTTGCCAATTTGATTGTTGACAGAGAGTTTGCAAGGGAGATGGTGCAGCGGCAGAATGCGTGGAGGTGGGTTGTGGCACGGGCGGTGGAGGCTGGCATTAGCACACTAGGAATGACTGCTAGCCTTTCGTACTTTGATACCTACAGATCAAGTCGATTGCCTGCAAACCTGATCCAAGCACAGAGGGATCTGTTTGGTGCACACACCTATGAGCGCATTGACCGTCAAGGTTCATTCCACACAGAATGGAACAAGCTGGCGAGGAGAAGCAATGGTGCAGCCATTTGAGGAATTGGCTGGTATTAGCAGTGCTGTTTGCTGCTCTGGGTGATTTCTCTTTGTGGGTTCTCTTTCATTTTACTATTGTTGTCTTTATGCTTCTAGATCCAAGTTGTATACTTTGAATAATGCTGTACTGTATGGTTGGCAAGTGAAGAACATTGTGAAGCTTCAGTTTTACTGTGATCTAGGTACACCCAGTTTGATACTCTTAACTTTGGTATGCAATCGCTATGATGCTTCTCAAATCCCAATGTTGTGTCTTTAAAGAGTTATCTGAAATGTGTTGAAATTGCTACTAAGAGTAGTGAGTTTTGCATCATTTATCTGAAATGTGTTGAAATTGCTACTAAGAGTAGTGAGTTTTGCATCATAACCTCTCAAATCAATGGTGTCTTTGAAGAATGGTGTGCCATGTGTAGAAATAATAACTACTACAGTTGTGAGGTCGTAGTGCCCCAGTATTGAAGGTAACTCATGAGTCATATATGTCCCTTAAAAAAAGAATCTTATGTTGATAAACCTAGATGTCTGGGGATCTCTACCTATAAGCCAATGATCCTAGCCTGTTTCTTTAAGCGGCTTTTAGTGAAAAAGATATAATTCGATGCTCGTAGTTTACTGTGCCAGCTATGCTAATCAGAAATAACTTTCTGAAATATGCATAATAGTACCCACTCTTTGCCAGAAAATAAAGATGCTGCCATTTAATATTTTCATACAACTAAGCTGGTACTTGAAGTGGTCGTGTAATTTCTAAGACATCTAATTTGTGAAGTTATAAATTATAATGTCTATTCCTTAAGTTTGCAGACCGAACCTTTATTTTATTCATTTTGGTTGGTTAGTATGGATAATCAAATTAGTTTTATTTTGTGTTCTGTATAATTGGCTATAAATATATAATATTCTTATATGCATGATTATTTACTTGTTTATTTGTGGCACACTTGTGTCAAGTACTCAAGTCAGATACATGTGCTGTTAGTGAGTTTGACATGTTTGCTAGGGCATGATCAGTGATAAAGAGCTATCTAGATCTAGATATTCTCAATTGAGTTCATGTCATGTTTGACCCATGAAGTTATTGTCAGTTGCAGGTTTTTTTAATGACTTAAACTACTATATGACTGCTGCAGCTAAATGGTCAACTCTAAATGCATTGTAGTAAAATCATATCTTCTTTGCTGTAATTTGTACTTTCTTTGTTCCAAATTATAAGTCGCTTTGACTTTTTTGGTACATAGATTTTTATATGTATCTAGACATACATTATATCTAGACATGTAGTAAAATGGATGTACCAAAAAAGTCAAAGCGACTTATAATTTGGAATGGAGGGAGTAGTTGATTATGATTCTATTTCTATGCTAACAATGATTTGTTGATTTTATTGGGCTATTATACCAATCAAGTTTTAATAATTGTGAGACATATGTGGTAGGGATGCTGTGCTGTTAATAATATATGGAAATGAATTGCTAGCTCATTGCATTTTTCAAGAGCAAAGCACTTACGATATGGGGATGATGGGTGTGGTGCAACCATCTAGTGGTAGAATTTCTGGGACCATATCATTGTCTGTAAGAATTGGTACTGGCATTTATACTATTTCTTTACATATAACTGTGCAACTTTGTCAAATCGATTGAGATGCGGATGTTTGTGTTAGCATGATTTGCTCAATGAAGGCTGTGGCAGTTACTAGTAATTTTGCTTTGTGTTAAATTCTGAAAATTAACCGTCAACCTATCATGTAAAACCTGCTTGAAGCCTTGAACCATTTCTTATGTAGATTAGTCTGTCATGGTTTTGTCACTTTAGTATTCCTCAGAATTTTCTGAGGCCCTACCATCTGTTAACTTCATGGGGCTAACTCATTTGCCATTTAATGTAGCAGAATATTTGGTATTTTTCATTTGTTATTAATAACTTAGTGTTTATCTAAATTTTCATGTGAAGGCTGTTCTTGAATAGAATAAGAGCTGATTATTATGTTTGCTTATATTCAGATGAATTTCCACAGCTTGGTCAATTTTGAGGATCAAAACTGTCCATTCTGTAAAGTGAGGTTACTCTGCTGGGCCAACGGGCCACCATTCCAGACAGGTCCAAGTTGGGCCAATGGGCCTTTAAACTCTACATTTATGAATTATGATTCAAGTTACTCTGTTTGTTGAGCTGTGGTTCAGTCATATAAATGTCATTAGATGCATTATGCAAGGAACACTGTCAGTTCATTCAGCCATAGAACTTTAATTCTGATCACAATTGAGAACCTTGTGATGATCAGCAAATGTTGTGACCAAATTCTTTTTAGCATTTAACCTTCCTGAGTGTTATCTACTGTTTCCTACAACTAATGTAGACCAACCAAGTACATTATCTATAATTTCCATATCTAACAAGAGTTTCTGATATTGGTTTTAATTTGTGGTGGTCAACTAATGTACGCCAACCAAGTGATAGTGATTCATTCTTCCTTGATCCTATATCTAGTTTTGTTGTTCATTAATGAAATAACAACAAATGTATGTACTTGACAACTTGCATTTCAGAGTGAACATGTGAGTGTCAACTGTCTTGCACATACAATTTCATTGATCGAACACTGTCTTGCCATAAAGTTTCATTGATCCTCCCTCCCTTCCTCTATGTGTGAAAAGATCCCTATATCTCTGCCTATGGAGTTTGTTGCTCGATAACGAATATAATCTTGATCATATTCTGGAGCTGGATTTGATGGTTCCTGTTTATCTTCCAGTTTAGCAGTTGAAAAGCTGCCATGCTATGATTATAATTGAATAACTGCATAAGTAGGTCTATGTTTTCATTGGGAATAATGTGCCCAGGTCACATCATTTTGTGTTGAATTTCCGCAGGAAGGTTAATATTTGGTTATTAGTCTCTAGTAGCTTTTTTTCGTGATGTTTAACTGTTGCTTCAATAGTTCTGCATTCTTTATAGGTATTATCACCTTTCTCTCATCTATAGTTGTACTGCTACTGAAAAGATCTCCCATGCGCAGCAAACTTATACTATGCCTAATCAAATATGATGTTTTTATGAAATTCCATTGAGGTATTACATCTGCTCTGACTATTTTAGATCTGATTTTTTTTTTCTCGAACACGCAGGAGAGTTGCCTATCATTATATTAAAGAAGGATAAAAGGGTAAAGAATCCCGGTTACACCAACATCCACATACCCAAAGGATCACAATATTAGATACACGCCTTTTTATTCGCGCCTTTTTATTTTGGGTCTGATAAAAATGTTAAAGCTGTATATGTGCTGTCTTTTTCTAAAATTTGGTTGCATTTCAGGTGATAATTGAATAATTGTTAATTGATACTTTCTAGCAAATTCTGCTGCCCAAATCACGTATCGCTTCCCTCGGTAAAGTAAGTTTAATGTTTGATATAGTTAATTTACAAATAGCTTGAAATAAAAAATAATGAACTTAAATGTTAATATGTGTTTTTCTATCTTATGGCCTCTAATGATTGGTTTGTGATACATAGAAACCTGATTATACCCTGATCTATTTGAACTGAAACACAAAGCACAGATACAGTTCTGAGTATAGCCGTGAGAGTTTAATGCAGTTTATTTATATAAGCACTGCTATAAGAAAACATTTGTTGTCAACTACTGTGATTCAATCATCGAGGTGTGATAACTTTCTTTATTTTGTATGACACAGCAAATGTTGGGTGAAGTAAAAAATTGTCATCTATTGGTTGGCCTAAGATAGATATGCAAGATAGTGGTGATGGTTACATCAGACATAACAAGTCACTCTAGGTTGCCTGCATGTTAACAGCTAACAGATGAATTCTAATCTACTCCCTCCATTCCAAATTATAAGTCATTCTAACTTTCTTGAAGAGTCAAAGCATCTCAAGTTTAACCAAAATTATAGAGAGAATTACAAAAATTTATAAAATCAAATAGGTATATTATGAAAATATAATTAATAAAGAATCTAATGATGTTTATTTCGTATCATAAATATTATTATTTGTTATATAAATATAAATTTGATCAAACTTGAGATGCTTTGACTTTCAAAGAAAGTTAAAATGACTTATAATTTGGGATGGAGGGAGTACTAGTTATTGGTGATTTGCATTGTTTATGAACCAAAAATTATGCTTGCACAATATTGGCGTGATTCACTTCTGGATCGCAATTAGTGGAGAGGCTAGTTCCCTGCCCACTTCTGGGTATTTTGCCATGTTGCCATTCCTATGCTGTAGGCTGAGACCTAGGGTCATCTGCTTGTACCGGTGCGTGTAGTGTTGGTTTCGAGGGCTGAGAAAAGTGATAGGCATATGTGCGGTAGTAATAGCAATGCATAATATTAGGTTTTCCCCATTTCGGACCAGATTTAATGCTCTCTTGATGCATAAGCTTCATTTAAAGGCTTTTGCAAATTTTTTTATTTAGGTAAGGATTTATCACTATGAATAGTAATATGTGTGATACTGTGGTTCTTACTGGAGCATTTAGTAGTGAAGCTGAGGGCTCCAAGACATGATTTGATGCTGGTTTGGAGCTTTGCTCTTCATTTGCCTCTAAAACTTTGCTTTTGAAACATTCCGATCTGGTATAAGAACTATTTGATACTCTGCTTTTGAAACATTCCGATCTGGTATAAGAACTATTTGATACTCTGCTTTTGAAACATTCCGATCTGGTATAAGAACTATTTGATACTCTGCTTTTGAAACATTCCGATCTGGTATAAGAACTATTTGAAACTCTGCTTTTACAATTTATAAGCACGGTCTTGTTATCCTTTTGCCAAAAGGAGTGCATAAATTCGTTTTATTACTAATAAAAAATATAAATACCGCTTAATTAATTTGGAAACTATTGTCTTAGAAATATGTAATATCGTTTGTTGATTTGGTCCCTAGAGCTCTGTTGTATCAGGTTGAGATCTGAGGAGATCATCAATTTTTCAGCATAGTGTTTTCTTTCTTTTTTTGTTTCTTACACT